CTGAAACCACTCAACCATTTTTTGTGTGCAAGTGATGTCAAGGTTCACTCTAGCATCACGACTGTCTGCATGCTGATCAGATGTTCCGAAACGCACTCCACAGAAGTCCTCAATGTCATTAGCCACGTGCTGAAGTGAAGTCATTCCCAAGGTCCACCGTGATAAAATGCCCTCACTGAATCCACGAGCTCTAGTCAGTCCACCTTCAACCTTCATGTTCTTCATGAGCTGCTGTTCAATGCACATATCACTCCATGTGCCGCACCAGCATTTATCACTTCGGCGAATAGTGAAACTTCCTTGCTTAGTGAATGCTTGGTATTCCTGGAGTGGCATCCACTGTTCCAAGTTTATCATGTCCTGGATGTACATGTGGGCACACTTTGCATATAGGTAGTGACCACTGGCATGGAAATACGGGAGCATGTCATGTATGACTTCCAGATGAAGTTTCCAGTTTCCCATTCTTTCTGATTCAATGAATTTCATCATCAATGTTATCATTTCAAAATATTGAACCCACAACTTAGCAGTGGGCCCCAAATTGGATAGATTCAGGAGCTGGTCTTTAAACGACTGTTCAATTTCTTTCCACCATCCTGTTTCATGAGAATTCAGCAGTGCATTCCAATTTTCTGCGTAGACAACTTGATCGATGTCGAACTGAAATGAGGAGGAGAAATTTATGGAATCCATTATCACCTTAGCAAGAGCTGTTGCAGCCAACGTGTGTCCTCTGACAGCCCTGGCGTAAGCATGGCCAGTCATAATTTTTTCTGTGCTGTTGGGTGCATATACAGTATTAAAAAGTTCTGTCAAACCACTCCCCTCCATTATGTAACCCACAGCTCCCATAAAAGACATGAGCAAATGGAACCCTCCAAGCCTTATGACTACACCCTCTAACTCTGGATCTCCCTCTCGACTTGCTAAGATTTCTTTAGCCTTTAGATAAAGAGGCTGGTCAAATGTGACGAACGTAGTTTTTTGCTCAGGACAACAGGACCTCGTCCTTTGGACAGCAGTTGTCAATGATGTGTATACTGTGTCGTAGTCACTGGGGGGTGCATTAATGAATGGTTGGCAGTCAATGGATGTTTTTTCATAAGGTATGCCATCGGTCACCTGTTCCATGAACCCATTCCACCCACGAATTCCAGGAAAACCTTTAGATTTACAGTAGAACCATACCAACGTACAGACTGATGGGACAATTATTTCATTGTGTGGAAATTCTGAACTCAAATCACATACTTTAATTTTGGCTAAGCCAAGAGGATCTATCTTCTCGAAGTGTTGTAATGGCACTGCTCCCAAGCTCCCTAAATCTGCCGCTGATGGTATAGTCTTCAGACGGGTAATCTTTTGATCAGGAACTACAGAACTGCCTGGGGTGACACATCGGATACTCCCCATACTGTGAAAAGTGTTACGTCCATCGAGTGTCTGGATGTTGAAATCTGCGTTGTCATATACCATTTGAATAAATGCTTGTTGGCTTACAGCCAGAGGAGGGCGCATTATTGTTGACACTTCAAATCGGGTAGTCTCATTGTATGCTGCACAAAATCCGAGGGATGACAGCACATCGATAAGTTTTCGCGAACCATATTTTTTGTACAAGAAAGCACCTAATCCAACTTGAAGAGGAGAAACGAAAGACCTTGGACGCACTGCACTAATCAAGCTATGTGCGATTGCTACAGATTTCTTCTTCCATGGTTCAAGATCCCCTTTTTTCTTGTTAAGCACAACACCTTCTACGAATATTCGGGTAGTCTCAGGAATTAGGTCTTTAGCTCCCTCTAGAAATTTATCACACCCGGGGTATTCAGTCAGGTTGTAGATTTGTGATCGAATATCCTCAACAACTATGGCAGCAGCGGCTTCAACTATGTGGCGCCTTTTCTCTTCCTCTGGCAAGCGAATTGCTTCTTGATGCCAGTTCTCAGTAATTATTTTGTGACCAGTTGCTTTGAAACACACAACGTATGGTTTGTGTGTGGTGACAACAATATCATCACCAAATTTTTGAATGAGGTGCCTCCTGAGGGTGATTGGGTGAGGTCGGAAATCACCTTCAATTTTTTCCATCAATTCATCAAAGGTGAATTGACATTCTTCATCACTGTTTTTTAGAAAAGTGGTAATGGAATGTATAGCAGCTTCCATTTCATTATCAACAGGTCTGCCAGTTGGCAGGCCTTGTCGATGTGGTCGGTACAAAGCCTTCATGCAGTCTCTGTGGTATTGTGCATCCACTGCAACCAAATCATGTTCTGGCTCAAGGCGAGTTACTATTCCTTGGCTTAATTCATCTTGACGACCGGCTACTAGGCTGAGAACTTTTTCTCTCATGGACAACGTTGTCACATTGTACACCATGTTGCGTTTATTGGGAGGATTTTTTATTTGTTGTTGGTTGTGATCTGTTGCCACCTGATTTCCGCATATAAAACAATGAGTTTTGAAGGAAAACTCTCTAGTAATTGAACGCTTCTTTTTGGGAATATGTTGAGCTGCTCTTTTTAAATAGGCTGCTACAGATCTTTCTGTGGTGTAATTCTTCCGGCATCTCACATGAACTTGTATTTCGGTTCTCTCCTTAAAAAGTTTCACCTTACCATCTTTCCTCTTTGTGCTGGCTTCTATGAAGGACTGCAGCCCTTTCTCCTTCACGACACATAATTCTGTCCCATCTTCTAACAAATCATCACACAGACAACACTCCCGGCGCGACATTATGTGCAGGCATAAAAAAACTAAGTAATAACGCACGATGTTTACACACAATTTTAGTTACATCTACTTCTTGAGAGCTAAAGACAGACTGAAGTGAATCTGTGAAGCAGATGTGAGTGGGGAGGAAAGAAAAGAAGAGGAAAGGGGGAGCTCTTTGAATGGGGTGCAGGTGTTTCGGACTCCAGGTTCAATACAATACAAGGTCGGAACAAAAGAGAAGGGTCGGAATAAAAGAGAAGGGTGACGACCTACTTTCAGCCCCTTTTTTTTCGCTATGAAGCTAAGTTTTCAGATTCCCTCAAACGTTTTAATCAACGATTTCCTATCCTCTTCTAATGTTGATTTCACTTGTCGCAAACACTGCAATAAAAATGTTTCAATCAAGGAACTGTATAAATAAAAATGTTTGATTACGACTGCATCGATTAAAATAAGACGTTAGGGAGGTCATTCGACGCAGAATTTTATGCTCTTTAACTTTGATAAGAGTGACATTTTACGACAGATACCTCGTTTCCATGATATTTACGAAAAACCAAAACAACCTCCATAATTTTGAGGTTTTTTTCGTTTTTCGACCTGATGCGGACCAGGTAGGTGTCAGCACTTTTCAAATTCGGATTCAGCGACCCAAAAAACATAGAAACCAGTTGAGAAACCTACTCCCTCACTTTTGTTACGGAAACGCCACTTTTTAACCCGATTTGACTGGACTATAAGGTTGACACCAGAATAAAAATTGCACTAAAAAATTGCAGGAACAATTGAAATTACACGCTATGACCTTTCAAGAACAGACACGTAATCTCAGCTTAGATCTGGCATTAGTGTGTGGTACGATATTATTGTCACGGCTTTTTAATACTAACGCACTGATAAAAACTTCACATTAGATTTAACGTTTGTAGTATACCGAAATGTAATTCTTTCCCGCAAATGAATTCGAATACTAAGCTAATCTCATACATAGATCCGGTAGGACGTGAAATTCAAATAACTCACTTTGAAAATGTTAGGTAAGGTGTAGGATTTTTGAGTTGGGCAGATTGAAATAAAATTTGCGACTTTAGGATTACCAAATAATCCTATAATTTCACCAAAATTAATGAAGTGCCTAAAACCTCGTCCGAGTGATGTATTGCTTGTGAAATGAGTGTAATCTAACATTTTAAATTTCGTAAACTGACCACCCGATTAATGATTTTAGATAATAGCGTAGCGACTGAATATCGAAATGTGACAGACTTTGTTTCATGCTCTGTCGTTGAAATACCGCGCCATTTCTTTCTATTTACATTTTCAAGCTTTAGTTGTCATAATAACAATAATGGTTTGTATTAATTAGAAATAATTGGTTCCTACACCATAGTCAGTAGGTTAAGGGTCAGATAAGCTACCACTAGCTACCCCTATACACATAATATCTACCAACACAGATTCTACTAGTCGAAACAATTAGCAACATTCGTCTTTGATTGCAAACAAGCACACATCTACTAAAGTGCGTTTTACAGGCTAACAGTTTTTATTGAAGTTGCAGTTTAGCCGAGAGCATGCGCAATAGGCGATTTTCTTGAACGCGAAGGAACCTACGTTTTGGTTCGGATGTGAAATTATTTCACATTCAACTGAAACTGTAAGGCTGTCAACTCTGCGATTGGACATTTAAAGTTCATGTCATTTGATGGTCATTTGTTTTGACGGAGGTAAATGCAGATTATTAAGCGAATTATTTTCTCGTTAAATCCTAGCGATATTTTTTATGTTGGTATTAGCAAAATGTGAATGTGAAAAATAAATATTGCAGAATGTAAAGCGCATGTCACATCAGAAATTTCCAGAATCTTATTTCACTTTCTATTTGATTTGAAATAACCCTTATCATGTAAACCGCGCAGCAACTACTTACCAACGAAAGAAAAAAAGAGGCAAAAGAATTTTCTGCTCAAAGGCACTTTCGGGACGGCACTGTCTGTAAACCGAGTTATAACAGAACTTGCAAATGTTAAATGAAAAAGAATGATCAAAATTACGGCCTAATCTACTAACAGTACGATATCATAAATGTGGCATTGGCATACGTAGCAATCTGAAAATGCACAACATGGCATTTACGACGAAAAAAAAGAAAAAAAAACACATTCACATAAAACACACAATAATCGCATAATAAGGAGAAGTTGTGACTATCCACGTGAAAATCTTAGATGCAACAATTTTTAGCAGCAGTAGAAAACCAAACCCTTAATTTTCTTTACATGTTGCAGGCGACTTTGGCCATCTTAGATAAACTGGACCTGGACTCAGAACGTCCAAGCGATGAGGAAGTAGCGCGAATGTTCGGCTACGAGGAGGCGTATCACAGTGGAACCTTGACAACGTGGCAAAGAATCAAACCGAAAGTTTGGGCCCTGTTCGACGAGCCGTACTCGTCCACAGCTGCAAAGGTAAGTGCCGAAACTTGACGAAACCATCGGCTACTATTATGGTTTCAGGTTGTGGCCGGTATATCTGTGTTCTTCATTTGCGTATCGGTCCTCTCCTTTTGCCTGAAGACTCATCCTGGAATGCGCCTGAAATGCGGTGGTTATAGATTTAGAAATTCCACGGATTTAAACTGCACCGAGCCGCTACCGTTATTCGTAACCATCGAGCACTTCTGTAATGCCTGGTTCACCTTTGAATTAACTGTTAGACTGATTGTAAGTAACCATTGAAATTTTGAAGTTTTTACACAAACAATGCTCTGGAACATTACCCAGACCAAACGGCATTCAATATTTTAATGTCGCGTCTCCGTGAATGAATGAGGTGTCTATCACCCCCATCTCCAAACATCTTTCTTTTCTAGACTGTCGTGTACAAAAATCCTAGTATGAATGATTTACTACAACAGCCCGTTTTTAGCGATGTTCCGAGGGTAGTTTATTTCAATCAAGCCTAGAAAGCTTGATATGCATACAACCGTAATAAGAAACGATACATTTCTCCTCCTATTTATCAAACTAAACGTAGACATCGTTGTTCGGTGCGAGCTATTAGTTTGCTTAGTGAGCCGACAAGTAAAATTATGCAGTCGATATGGTTGCGAACTGCGAGTAATGAATACGTATAGCTAGTGCAACTCGACTGTAAGTACGTGCTATATTGAGCGCGACGATTTTAATAAAACCAATAACTTAGCAAAATTAATAACAGTTCAAGTATGGCATGTTTGAATTCTTCTTTCTGAAAACCCAATAGCCGAAGAAGTAGAGTTTAGGCAGATTCTACTCTAGCACAGTCTTAAAATTTAAAGAATTTTACCAACCTATGTGATGACATTTATTAAAACAGAGCGTATTAATATATTGGTCCTTTTTGGAGCCGAATCAATTTTTTTTTCGCTTTTATTCGCCTTTGAAATATTAAAATAACATATAAAACAACCCTAACTACTTTTGAACAAGAGTCTAGGAAGTGAAACTGTATTCTCCTAACGATAAACCAATGAAAAGTGGCGAATGCTAACAAATCTCGCCACATACAGGCAAATAATTTAAAAATGGTACGTGAAACTCGCTCCTCTACCCTAGATTACTCCAATCTGATAAACCTCTGTAAGAATAAAGGATATGGAGTGATTCAACATATTTGTCTTCTAAAGAAAGTTTCCCAGCGTGGCTTGATTTTTAATCTGTTTCCTAAATAATAATTAATAATTAATTCTTCGTAAAAACCTTTGTATACAGCAATTTCTTTGATGGTGCACAATCTTTACCCCAATTTTCATTTACTAAGAGATTAAACAAAGCATGTTTATAGTGGCAAGGAACAAAAACGCTCATTAAGAGAATAAAACGTGCACAAAGCGCTGTGGTATCTTTGAAATATCCATAACCGTTATATAAAGTAGCACGAGTATTGAGAACGGTTACTGCATCACAAACGTTGAAAAATCTGAATCCTGTCTCTTCGAGCGATAACTCATACACGCTTTTACACAAAAACTCAGATTGGGTAGATACACAAAAAAAGGGCCATTTATAACTATCAGAGGTGGCGATCTAATAGAACAGTTTCTGACTAAATCCAGACTTGCAGCCGACCACTGGCAGTTGGATCGTTTAAATAATGTCAAGCAATCAATAGAGACGCTATATTGAAACTGTCATTTTTTGTTTGTCGACACCATTACAAATAATGAATGTTGTAACCGTAATGTTTTCTCTTTCAAACGTGAGATGTCAGGATTTTTTGTTTTTAAATAAATGGTTTCGGTCTTCGAGAAATAAAATACGAAGCGGAGATATTTTTAGAACACTATCCTTATGTGGGAGATATTAGTATTTTTATAAGGTTCGTCGTTGGGTAACGCGTTCTTTTTCCTGGTTTTCTTTGTACATGTACTCAAACGTAATTTTATAGCTTATTTAATGCTGTAGCCAGATCCCTCGAGTGAGCTCTTCATTTTTAAAATTGTGCAATTCATTTATTAGAGTTCTGGAAACTCCAACCCCTATAAGCTAAAATACAATAATACACATGCCACCCAACAAGCGATCGATTGAAATAAATACCTTACTTACCTTAACGTGTTAATAATCCAAAATATCCGATCCTAACTGCGATTTTCAACAAACAGAATGCACAAACGGGCAAAAAAACTAACTGCTGTTGCTTCTGTAACTTAACTTGTTTAATGTTTACATTTATTGCACTTGAAACTTTACTTAGAAGACACTTGGTTTATTTAAATTACAGATGAAAAAGAACTCCCCTTACAGGTAATTTCGATGACCTTATTAAGGAAAGGCTTCACAAAAGCAAAAAACCCTATAGCAACCACACTTCGGCTAACTTCTTCTTAAACTTCACTTCTTTAACTTGAGTTACACATTCACTTTTATATACATGTATATAATCATAAAAAAATTGCAATAATTGATTTACACAGTAATTCAGTGGAGTACTCGAAACACATGGCTATATCGGATATGACTAAATGGCTAATGGTTTAAATTCTCCTTCAAATTGTAGACTACCTAAGGGTAAAATTTTGAAAATAGCGAAAACTTTGGAGTTGTCCTCGGGGTTGTCATCGTTCTAACTGACCAGAAAGTGTTCTTACTGTTTGTAACTTTTTAATATATCCCTGTGCAATTAGTACACGAATTTCACCAACCTGTATGAAGCACTTTTAACATCTCAGGTGAAACTTTTATTCAAATATCCAAAAGTATTAATTATACGTTCTTCCACCTACATACGTACTATCTCCACCAGCTTAGAAACTTCGTAATTTTTGGAAATTATGATTTGCAGTCGAAGTGGTTTAACATTGAAAAGGAACCCCAAAGGGACAAAAACGCGCATGTTTATATTATCGGAAGCAAGTGACCGCCTTTATTGCCAAAGCGCGAATTCTTCTTTTCTATAGGATCTTCCTGCGAATGGCAAAACGCAAATTCTTCCAAATTCTCCAAAACCAATCCCCCTATTAATTACTGAGCAAAATGTTAAACGCTCACGATAGCGAATTATTTACAAAATGGCGATGTCTACATTTTCTATTGGTTAGTGTCTTTCTATCTACCAATCACAGATGATTTTAATGTTGTATACCAATTCCAAAAACAACGCAATCAGATGTTTTTACAGTGTCTAATTTATTTTGTGCTTAGTTTCTTTTCAAGCGTTTGTTCTTTAATTACTTTAGGAAGCACATAACGCTGCAGTCTCGGTTTCAGATCAGAAATGGGTAACATTGAATTACATTAGGGAACTCATAGTTAGGTCAAAGTCCACGCGTGCCTAGGCCTCAAATTCGGGCCCCTTGTGGTACCTACCGAACGAGAGTCGTCCGAACCCTCAACGTCATCAAGAAACATGTGATCGTTTTTCCCTAACATGAATTGAGGAGTGAGTGAGCCCGATCGCCCTCCTCGCCCAGAATGCGAGAGTGGCCCACCTCGATGATACCTCTGCTATTCAACAACCACTTACTTTTCAGGCGCACGAATGCCAGAGTGGCGTACTCTTTTAGGTGGGGATTCTAGTGGAGACAGACCCAGAAGCGCCTCAATGACGGCTGTGGGAGTTATTCGCATCGCGCCCGTGCAAGCCAGGCACGCAAGTCTTTGTACATGATTAAGGTGTGTTGTGGTTGTGGAAAGTATGGTTCTAGGTCACCAGAAAATTGCTTCATAAAAGAGCATAGTTCTTATCACGGCAGTGTACATCCACAAGACAGCGTTCGGGGATGGCCCCAAAGTTTCCCAATTGCGCGACGACTTTGTCAGAAATACCTATTTGCTTTTTCAGTTTTCTGTCAAGTGTGATTCCTAGAAATTTCACTGACTCTGAAAGTTGGAGGTATTCTTAGAATAACAGGGGAGACTACTACTGATCGATCAAATTTCTTAAATTCCAAAAAGATTACTTACACAAATTTTGAAGACACCTGAAATAAATTTGAGGTACGGATCAAAAAATTAATCACAATTATGCATGAGACCTTTATCTGGATCGTTAAAAGGGTTCGAATAAACATACGATTTACATGAATTCACACAAACAAAAATTATTTTAAATACACCAATCAAATTAATCAAGGTGAAATATAACACGGTTCATTTGCACACTCCGCATAAGGGTTCGATGACAATTAAACAAATTAATGAAATCTTATACTTACAGTTTTCTGTTAAAATCCCAAAAATCCGGACAAAAGCCACAAATTGCGACAGAACAACGTACTTACAAAACGTAACGCACTACACTTGCTTTTCTTTAAGTTATCTACTTTTCGGGTCACAGGAACGTAGGTTTACTCCATCGAATTAGACTGGTTGGCGACCCACCCGGCAGATGAAACGTTGGCCGTTCGAAACAGTAGACGGGAACTTTCTTACACCAACTTCAGTGTTATAAAGTCCCTCTCCTCCTTCCTAAATTAAATTAATTATCTAGTACGTATCAACACGACAACCACAAATGCATTCGTATCACTAATAAATTACATCAACCTTTTAACAAAAGTAATCAAAGTGCCCATAAATTAAAACAGAACTGTTACTTAATTGATAACTTTACGATAAATTACCCTAGATTTAACAATTCTAGGAATTAATCCGAGAATTAATCTTTTACAAGGAAAAATAAACTACTTGAATATAACTACCCACGCAATAATCGTTCCATGTTTACACGCAAAAACTTCACCAGACTAATTAAATAATTTGAAACGAAGATTTGACTAACAATTAAAGAACCGTCATTAATTCAGGCGTCTAGGCCAAACCTCAACGTCCACAACGACATTATTTACATAGCAGTATTTTTTCCCGAAATCATCATGAAACCTTCACTTTTATGCTAATTTTTGGCAGTAAAACCTTTCCTGGCAACTTTTCCTGTCGTCTCTCTCTCCTACCCAGACACCTGTCCTCACTGACACATTATTATTAATCGAATACTCCATATGAAAATTGAAATTTTGCATTTAGAAAGACGATTTCGTGAACAATTTAATACAAAACTCTTCAGTAAAACGACACTACTTGACATTTAATATATCTATCTTAATCGTCATCTACAGTAGTGACGGTCCGCAGGCAATTTCTGTTTCAAAGATAAATTTGACCGGCGAATATTTCGAATTTTATTGATCAGTAAAATCTCGAGGGAAACAAATTTTTATTTCGAAGATGGAACGTAAGCAATATCCACTTAATGGATCGGTCTCACGTTTCAAGATAAAATATTGCCTATTCTTGTCCCATTTTTTTCTTAAGAAGGTTACCATTTAGAACGTTTCGCAGATTTCTAGCCTAAATTAATACCAGGAAACCATTTTTGTTGATCCAGATCTAATTTTAAGTTGAAATTTGATTTAGTTTTATCATAGTCAAGCAGTTCAACGAGAATGGGTCGCATCTATTTATTATGTTCTCACTCTAGCGGGATTGTATATCTGAAATCTGGCAATCTATTTATGTCAACTCTATCAAGATGGTTAAAACATTTCACTAAGACAAAAATTGGAACCTCTCATAATACGTAGCCTATTATTGACATTTAAAGAAAAATTATTTTTGCTTCTAGTTGACAAATGCCATTATGATATTAATGAAGGGAAGTACGAAGGCGAAGACGTTTTGATTCCTCCCATCTGTATGATTCCGAACGACTGAACGATATGTCATTCGACTTTAAACATTTACAATTTCCAGTTCGGCTTGCATTTGGAAATACTGAAAATTAAATAGCAAGGGCAGTGGACGTGTTTGTGAAATCAGTCTGGAAAATCCATGTTTTGCACATGGCCAATTATTTGTCGCCTGTTTCAACTTTATTCAAACTCCAGAAAACAAAACTAACAATGTTGTGTATCAGAAACCATTACAATAAGCACTATAATGTTTTTGAAATAATTTTTTTATTATTATTTCCAGTTCGAATTGAATATTCATAACTGAGACAGAACAACGTCTGTCGGGTCAACTAGTTTAAAATATTAAGATATTTATGTTGACAATTTCCACACAAACTAGTTTGTCTATAAATACCATTATTGTTATTACTATATTATTATGTTCCGAGTTAATAATTGCATTTAAAGAACTAACTTGTATGGCTCACTTATGCGAATAAGTTTTACAGAGCTGGCCGAATAAAGCGCTACTGCTAATATCGATCTTTTACGTCGTACAAAATGAGAGAAATAAGCGTAAAAGTAAATAATTGCATAACAGCCCATATAAATTGAAGTACCTTTGATATATCTGTTGTTGGCATTCCTGTACGTCTACGTGACTTTGTGCTCAAACGTAAAGGCCTTTTATTATATTTTGAAGGAGATGACAAGCCGTTTCAGAATCTTCAAGTATAAGAAACGTAAGGAAAACCATCTGATCCAGAAACCATTTCAGGTATATTTCAAAAACACATTTGCGAAGCTAATGAGAGGTATTCAGATCATTCGTGGAAAAGTTTAGCATTCAGTTAATTTCAACGGCGCAGTTTGGGAAAAGTTTAATTAGTTAGCGTAATATTAGCGTATTCGGGGTTTCCATTTGAAAATTGCTTATGGATGACTTCCACGAGGGAATTCCTTCGTTTTTCGCCCCTATCTAAGAACTGATGTTTTAAAACGTTATAACACCATAACAAGCTCCCCAAAGTCATAATGTGCCCATCAATTTGGTTACATTTACATTAGTTAACAACTTTGGGGATTAGTTCTCCAGCTCCACCGTGCGCTTCATAAATGTAATGTTGTTTTTCTCATTTCAGGTTGCACCCAACGTAATACAATTTATGAAATCGCCGGTGAACGTAATAGATTTTGTAGCAACGTTAAGTTTTTACGTAGATATGAGTTTAAACGTGGATGGTAAATCGGAACTATTGGAGTTCTTTAGCATAATCAGAATACTCAGACTGTTCAAGCTAACGCGACATTCGCCTGGATTGAAGATACTAATACACACCTTCAAGGCCTCCGCGAAGGAGCTCACGTTGCTCGTCTTCTTTCTCGTGCTGGGAATTGTCGTTTTCGCTAGTCTAGTTTACTACGCCGAGAAATTGCAGGTGAGTGTACACTTTACTACTTATTTTACGCCCCGAAGCTAAAATTTTAATTAAGGGATAATGAACGTCGAGGAAAATATAATTTATCACGCACCTCCTAGTTCAGCAATTCAGATTATGATATTTTGGTCTCGTTTAGACCGTGTTAACTTCCTAATTAGATTTATGTTGCAATAACAAATCTCTGGCTTTACGGTTTCCGAAATGCTGAAACCTTCCGTGCATAATGATTCATTCGCACTATGTTCAAATTTAGTATCCTCATGGGAACAGCACCTTTTAATAATTTATCAAGTTTTGGTAATTGCACGTACAGCTTGTGTTTGGAGTTTACCGGGTGGTCTGTTTTGGTAGGTTTAAGTATTGTAAAACCCCTTCCTAAAAGTAGACGAAACATTAAAATGTTGCCATTGAGAAGCAAAAAAGTACTCGCGGTCAGGACAAAAATATGCGATGATCGGTAAAACACTTTCGCACGAATCCGACAGACTAAAAAAACTCATTTTTAATACGCCAAAACTGGCTCGACGACGAAAAACACTCGAAATTCCGCTTCGTCGCCCGAATCGATCAACACCTGCGTTGCTTATCTCGCACGTGGCATTGTTTATCGCAAAACCATTTAATTTTTGACCGACAATAACTTTTTACTCACACCTGGACAAATATAACGTTTAACATGACACAATCGCACCCAGCTACATTCAGGCAACATCAAATCAAGCTGGGACAGCTGCGGGCAGGGCGGAAAACAAATATATAAATCTAATTCAAGATTTTGATATTGTTGGTTTTGCGGTGGAAACCCTAGGTCCGTGGGGCACGGATGCTAGATGTTTTCTGAAGAATCTAGGCCGGCTTTTGGTTGTTCGACAATCGAAGGTCTACTTTATTCAACCAATAAATCTTGCCATCCAGCGGGGAAACGCCGCAAATATTATGGTCAATTTTGAAAAGTATGAGAATTATAACCTTTTGTAAGTTTAATTGTTATTACGTTAAGTAGCGAAATGGGAATATAACCGTATTTAAACCCCCAAAAATGTTTCCTTATTTCCCTTATCTTCAATTCTTTTTAAATGACCGCATAAACCATTTAATACTAATACAATATATGGCGGCCTCTCTCAAAATTGGAGTAATGAAGGAATTTCTTTTTCATTCCGAAACATACATAACAATGGCTCATTGGAGTCCCCTACATGCACTGCAAATCAATATCTCGAACGGTTTCAGAAGTAGAGCCCCAGTTGAACACTCCTCTCAAGGGGTCACCAATGTCCCTCCTCCCCGTTTGAGGGTCTTCGGCTTTGGTCCAATATCGCGACTTGGCAGAATTAGATGACAAACAAAACTGGTTTGATGAGTAAGATGGCTGTTCGGAAGGTAAAAACTTTTAACTTTTGATACAAGGAGAAATTTAACAAAGAGGCTTCGCTGTACTACACTGCATCCTTTCTCGACTCGACAAAACTTTTTCCGGAATCGGAATACGCGTTAACCTTCTCACACAAATTTGGTTAACTTCTGCACGATTTATTATAAAAAAATTAGGAACTGCGTCTTAAATATTACAAATAGGACTGACTGCCGGAAACAAATTTACACGCTCTTTTATCGTTGCGAAACCTAGCCGCAGCAGCAGCGTTGTTCACCCGTCTGCAGTATTTAAGGAAGCGTCACTTCCACTGTAACATAAACTTTTTCTTTAAAAACTTTCCAATAATTCGCCAATCAACGACCGAACGCACCATTATTCGCACCTAATCTCTTTGTCATCAGCACCAAAACACGGGCGTTAATTAATTTTCGCCTGATAAGACTTCTTATCGCAAACGACCAGATGTGTCTTACTTCTAACCCCTTATCTAAATTGAATAAATTATAAAATCTATAGAATAGAAACAAGAATTACGCGTTTACAAAATTTTAAAAGAGAAAAAAACAACACTGGGATACAAACTCAAATGAAACAAATTAACTTTGTACTTATTTCGTAAATAATTCCCCACATTTACTTCATAATTGAAATATCTTCATATACAGGGTGTCTCTCTCATTATTTTTGGTTGGATCGAAATAACATCTACGCGACGTTGTTTACACAGCAATTTCTTAAACCGTATCAAAATCGAATGCATAAATGAACACTTTAGGATAGGTTAAGTTTGACGTTTATGATACATAAGAAGGTTGAATGTCACTATAATTGCGTATAACTTTAGAAGATGTTAGTTTCGGCATTACAAAAACGGCTACCCTGGGGCAATTAATTCCCCTTTCACAAATCAGAACCCCTATAGAAATAGGGTAAACTTTGATAAGAAAGTTACTTACCCATGCTTCCTGTAAAGGATCAAGTATAGATTTTCTTTGGCCTTAGGCACAGTGCGGGAGTGGCCACTCTATGTAGGTTCTCCTGTATAAATTTCTATCGGGGATTATGGGACATGGGGATACCTTTTATCCCCCTTGCGTCGACCGGTCGCTGGCGTCACCTTGGTGAGTTCTGCTTTGAGTGACCTACCAGAGGCTTCTTTGGGTTTTGAGGGCCCAGACTCTTCGGTAAGTGAGTGAATAGAACTTGCCTGAGCTTGAAAGCCAATCGCGAATTCTAGTCTAGATAACAGACCGACCGACGCGACTATTACCTACTGCGGTGATGTTGTCGACCACGTTGCGGTAAATTTCAATCCAGACCTTCACGTTAATGCGTAACCATTTTAAAATCTAGTCGGTAGACTCCTCCGCCTCTCCCGGAAAGTGAGCTATGAAGACGCAAGGCTTTGCAAGATCCGTCTGTCGTAAAGATCCCTTCCTTGGAGATATAGAAGCACCTCCGCTTTCCTCCGTGGAATGAAGTTGAGAGGTTGGGACGAGTTTTTTGAGGGGGTTATATGCGCTCCCATCTGAGGACAGAACCACTTTTCTCCTTTTCCTGCTCTTCTCGTCTGGAGCTTGCTGGCACTCCTGAGGCTTTTGTTGGGTCTTGTTTGACTTTGCAGCCGGGACCTTAACCTCCTTCGGGTTGTGTCCAGCAGCTATTAGTTTTTTGAATCGTTTACGAGCAGCACCATGAAGCATTACGTATGTGTGGGGTGAGGGTTTGCATGCCCTCCACAACTTTGTTTGACTCACTGGTCTCACGGGAAGCTGCTGAGGCTTTGCTACTCGAAGCTTCGGAGTCGTTAAGTGTTCCTCCAGAGGAATGGATCGTGACACTGTCTAGGCTGGTGTTTTCGTCAGAGACCAATAGGATCCTCTCGATGTCAGAGAAGTCTTGATCAGTGGTGGTTAGGGGTACCGCTGGAGTGATTTTTATATTTAAATCAGACATATAGATCCCACGAATGTTGGGCTTTTAAACGGTCACTGGCAGCCCACATGCTGGTCAGAACCTTTCTCTCTGGGTGACTAGGAGCACCATTCCTCATCCTTTCAGAACCAACGTCGCTTTCTTCCTAACAGTACCCTTAATTACCCTTGTAAGTCAGGTAGAAACTATATGAGGCAACCAGCCACGTTAGAGTACTTGGTATTCTCTTAAAAACATGTCCCTCCCTTCGATTCCGTTTTATAAATCTATTCTTAACGTACACACGCAACACCTACGACCACATGTGTTTACAAATGAATTAACTTTTGGTGATAAACGTGACTCTTATCTACGAAAGGAGGAAGACATGAGATAAACTTATCAAATATTACGAAAATAATTTTGATACGTTCCTTATTTTATAACACGTAATTTTTTAACAATTAAATAAACAAAATAAGATAATTACACCACGGCTATAAACAAAAACTAACCATCGTCAAAACTATGTAAAATTTACACATTACCCTACAGAACATAAAATCAAAAATTTCATAATCCCATTAAATACAACGTAAGTCCGTTAAAATTAAAGATTTTTGATAAATTTACCATGAACTTCAATAAAAGCACCCGTAACATACCACACACAATTTGCCAATTATCCATCGGCGGTACCTGGACCTCCGCTGCTGCCACCTAGATGCTACCTCACTCTGTTTTATTTTCTAAACCTTTATTTCCTGTTTCCGGTTTTACCCCTTAGGAGTACTGATAGCAATTAGGTACTTCAACCCCTGCAATTGCTTTCTGCTGCTTTTGAACTTGAACTTCCTCTCTCTTGCACTTCAACTTCCTTTCAAACTTCAACCGCTTTCTTCTGTTCCACAACTTGACACCTTTAAGCTTCTGATTGCTTATCTTCTTCTTGCTGAATCTCCAACTGAACTGTCTGACGTCTGCATTAACTTCGTATGTCTTCTTTGATTTCAGCTTCTTATTTTTCCATCATTTCAAATAACTCTGCGTGTCTATTTTTTTTATTCATTACTTGTAATTTCGTCTTTAATTCTGCCTTCAATTCCGTATTCGATTCTCTTATCGTCTGCAAAAATCTGGCGAAATGCCCTTCTCGTAGGGTCGTCATACTCGTCATCTTCATTGTAGACACCTCTTGTTTCTTCTTTTTTAAACGAAGTTATTATTTAAATTATCAAAATTTAACCTAAATTTTCGTTTTCCAAATGCCCTCACCATACCAAAAATAAATTGTGTGGCCCACGCTGGGCAACAAAAATTAAATCCCGTGGGTCACATCACATGTTGGGCGCCAAAATTAAATATTATTATCTAAAGTGGAATACCTGCGACCACATCTGTTAATAAAATTAATTCAACACAACTCTTATTGGGCAAAGGAGAAAAACGTAAGATAAACTTATGAAATATTACACAAATTATTTCGAGATGTTCGGAATTTCTTAGCAATTAAATAAACAAAATAATAATTCTGGCGCACATTCAAACTCAAAAGAACAGCAAATGTGTCTCATGCAGACGTTCTACTTCCCCTATATGAGTAGGCACCGTCTTCCTACACTTGGCTTTCGACATATTCGTTGCAATTGATATAGTTCTTCCAGACCTTCCCAATGCGCTTTGCGAGTACCCTCCTCCGACACTC